CAATAATTTCATTAATATACAAAAACTAAATTCTTTTTCTTCTTCATATTTAGCTTGTTTTAGTGTATAGAAGTGATGGACTTCCCAGTCTTCCAAGGAATTAATTTACTTCTTTTTATATTTCCAGGTATTCTATTTGCCATGTTTTTCATGGTGTCCTGTGTTCTGTTTGTTTAATGTTCCGCTTTTAAGATTTTCCTCAACAGTCTGGTTCTTTACTATTGATTTTTCTTCCTATGTGATGAGACCATATTGAATGATACTAAAGTATGCATTTTATGTTTTCCTTTCCTTTTCCTAAGTGTAGTCATCATGGAAGGCTATTGAATTTTGTCACATGCTTTTTCTAGATCTACTGACATGATATTATTTGTCTTCAGTAGGCTGCTGATGCTATGTATTGCATAAATCAATTTTCTCATTATCGATCCAACATACATTGAAATGTCATCTGGTGGTTGTATATAATTACTTTCAGACATTGTGTTCAGTAAGCAAGTATTTTCTTGAGGATTTCACATCTATATTCTTGGGAGATATTTGTATGTCATGTTCCTTATAGTATTGTTTTGGGTTTTGTTATAAAGTAAAGCCAGCTTCACAGAATGAATGTAAAATGTTCCTCCTTTTATTTTCTGAATAAGATTGTAGAGAATTAGATTAATTCCTTTCTTTATTGTTGAGTAGAATTTACCAGTAAATCCACCTGAGCCTAGTGCTTTCTATTTTGGAAATTATACATATTGATTCAATTTAATTAACATAACAAGCCTATTAAAATATTTTCATATTGTGTGAGTTTTGGTAAATATGCCTTTCAAGATATTGATTGATTCCACCTATATTATCAAATGTGTGAGGAGTAAGTTATTGATAATAATCCTTTGCTACTCTTAATTTTCATGATGCACAGTGATAGTTCCTCTTTCTTTTATGATATTAATAACTTGAGGCTTCTTTTTTAATTTAGGCAATCTGATTTGAAGTTTAACAATCATATTGCTCTTTTCAAAGAACTAGCTTAGATTTTTAAATTTTATATATATTTTTAATTTTCTATTATGCATTTAATCCTATGAAACTTCCCTCTAAGCTTCACTTGTCTATATCCCACAAACTTAGTTCCCGATGTTTTCATTTAATTTAAAATATTTTATTTTTTTCTTGTGACTTCTTTGATCCATGATTTACTGAAAACATGTTACATAACCTCCAAGTGTTTGGGAATTTTCGTTTTTGATTTTTCATTTGATTCTACTGTAGTCTATATGAATACGTTGTAAGATTTCTATCCATTTGAATTTGTTGTAGTATATTTGATGGCCCAGCATGTCATCAATTTTGGTGAATGTTTCATGTGCTTTTGCAAAGCATGTGTATTCTGCTGCTGCTGGATAAAGTATTTTATAAATGTAAATTAGAGCCAGTTGATTCAGATCAACTGTGCCCTCACTGATTTGCTGCCGCCTACACTGTCAATTATTGAGGGAAAGTTGCTGTGTCCTTCTAGAAGAATGGATTCATCTATTTTTTCCTTGCTGTTCCTTGCTGTTTAGTCTTTACTAAAGTATTTGATGTCTTATATTTAGCTGTATGTACGTTAACAATTGTTTTATCTTCTTAGAGAATTGATTGTTTTCTCTTTATTTCTGATGATTTCCCTTTCTCTGAAATCTGCTTTGCCAAAAGTCAATAAAAATCTCCCAACTTTCTCATCATCAGTATTACTATGGTATATTGTCCTCCGCCTTTTCTTTTTCTTTTTTAAAAAATCTTTCTGTATCTTTATATTAGTTTGGATTTCATACACAACATATAATAGGGTCTTTGGTTTTTTGTTGTTGTTTTTTGTTTTTCTCCAAGGGCAAAATCTTTTAGTAAGATCTTCTGAAACATCTTCTAGTAAGAAGTAGTACTTCTTATTATTCTCTCTTATTTTTTAATTGAAATAAAATTGTTTACAACATTATATATGAGATCCAGGGGCATAAGCTCACACCTCCTTAGATGCTTGTGACCACACTGTACCCACCACCAAAATCCTCCCCTTCAGCCCTCTGTGCTCCACGCATCTGGCTCTTCCCCTCTCTCCCTCTTGTAAACCCCTATTCCACAGTCACATTTCTAGATGTTGTTAGTGGTTTTTTTTTGCCTGATCTTTATGATTTTCTATATTTCACATATAAGTGAAACCAGATAGTGTTTGTCTTTTTGACTTATTTTGCTTATCATTATACCCACCAGCTCCATCCATATGGTTGTAAATGTTATGAAGTTATCTTATTTTCGTAGCTGAGTAGTATTTTATATACATAATATATATGTCCATATATGTCTATATATAAATATAGATATTCACACACACCCCATTTTTCTAATCTACTCATCTATTCTTGGACAATTACATTATCTCCATAGTTTGGTATTGCAAATAACGCTGCAGTGAACATAGAAGAGGATAAATGCCTCAGGTTAGTCATGTCTGATCATATCAATGTCTTTACCACATCTAAGCCTGGTTTTGATTCTTGTTCTACCTTTTCAAACTGTATTTTTTTTTTGTCTTTTACTTAGTATGTGTTGTGAGTTTTTTGACAGCCTGATCTGAAATACAGAATAGACAGAATTAGGCCTTTCATGTAATGCCTATGCTCCACATAGAAAACTCAGTCTTTTTGTTTGCTTAACTGTTGCTATCAAAGGATATAAATTCCCCTGATGTCTTTGGGTTTCCAGAGAGATGTCTTCCTAAATACAGGCTGCAATATGATGCTGTTCTTTAAGTTGTGTCTTCTTTTTGCACAGAAGGCCTATTTACAGTTTAGCAGTGGTGTGAGGGAAAATTTTCCATTCTTCGGATTAGGTTTCAAACTTATAGTGAGTTTTTTGGTGCTGCTCAGGTGTATCTTCCAATAGTCGCTGCTCAGCTTTTAATTTTCCTCTCAGGTAAGACAGGAAGGCTAGCGGTGGCTAGAATTGTTTATTTTCCTTTTTCTAGGGAGACATATTAGGGAGTAGAGTTGAGTGGTTTCCTTCCTCCCATTTGGTTAGAATCTGTTTAATCTTAGCCACTTAGTTAAATAGTTTTCTTGAGGAAAGTTCTTGCTAATAGGAAAAGAACCCTCTGGAGATGTTTCCAAGTGGCTACTTTTCATCTCCTCCTGCCAATAACTTGAGTTGGGGGTTGTCTGTTTTTCACAGGAAGAACCTTGTAGATCTCTGGAGGAATACACAGAGTTTGAGACCCTCAAAAAATTTAAATTTCAAATATGCCTGTAGGCGCTTCTAACAATTCAGCCACTGTAGTTTAGGTTTTGTATCCCATTGTCGGTAGCTAAGGGTTTCTGGCCCTGAGCTCCTGCTCTGGTTAGTGGTGAGTCTAATGTTTGCTACTTCTGCTCTCTCTGTGGGCAGCAGCCATGGTTGCTTTGTGACGCCAATTCCCTGCTGGATCTAGAAGATACGTTGGTTTTCAGTTTGAGTGCCTTATATTTTATTTATTTATATTTTTTGTCATGAGGAACAGGGGAATGATCTTCCAGCTCCTTACAAGCCATATTAGAGCCTGGAAGTCTTTGCTGGATCTTTACACCTCTACTTCCAGATCTGTAGAGGGCAGTCTTACCCCACACCACAAAGTGGTAGGATTCATATAGTAAATGTGAATGTGCTGCATTTTTATTATGGGAACATTGTTGGTATAACTATCCTTTGATAATTGAGTTAAATACTTATAACCTCTGCTTAAAGAAAATATTCCTCTTCATTACTTTGATTTTTTCCCCTTATATAAAAGTTGAGGGTTTTCAAGTTAACCCATAAGAAATTAGAGTGCTTAGGATTAAACATAACTCAGTTCAGTGCTTTCCCCTATCAGTGATGATTAGAAACAGACTTTGTCAGAACAGCTGAGCATAGTTGGAGGTCAAGTGTAGCCAAAGTTTCCTTTCACTGCTAGATGTCACATGTTGATTTTAATGAATTAAATATATAATGAAATGCATTAGTTCTCATACTCAGAGGTACTAACTCTTAAATTAGTACCAATGGCTCCCTTTTTAAAGGCTGCAGCACTTGGAGACTCGGACAAGCTACAGGAGTAGAGCTTCATAAGTGTAATATTATATATGGCAAGATGAGTGATATTCTTCCCTTTTGATCATACACATTTTGATGCAATTTTATGGGATAAATTATCTATAGATAAATTTTGACATAAGAAAAAATGAGAAAATAGATGTTCAATAGGGGCATTATCAATGGATAGATACATTTTTCAGTAGTACACTTACCATCGTGTGTTTTCTGTTCTGGGGGGTCATTTTTTCATGTAAAAGAGTTGCATTGCTAATTGCTCAAGCACATTACAATTGTTTGCATATATGTGTAGATACAGCATCTTGGGAAATGATAAATGTAAGTTCAGCATAAGAAGAGAAATTAGAGTACAGTTTTTTTTTTTTTTAATAACAGCACTAGGAAATGGCTTTCTTTTGTTTTGTCCTGAATTGTTTTTACTGTTTAAAAAAGTAATTAAAACTTGGCATGGTCATTGGTTTCAAATCTACCTTATTTCTATTTCACTTCCTGTTTGTTGACTCTATAAGTCCTTGCAATTTAAAAAGTCCTGAATATTGATGTTAATAATTCAAGAAGATTTTTTTTTTTGGTTGTCAAAATGTTAAATATTCTCTGCACATTATTTTGGTCCCTGAAAGTGAGTTTGGTATATATCCCTCTATTCATCTATGATGAGAGTTCTCTTTATTCCAGTAGCACAGATTGGAATAGAATACAGATGGAGTCTTAGTTGTCTATGTCCTCAAACTTTTTAGACATTTAAGATGTAGTTTTTGGCCATGTCAAATCACAATGTGTAAGATGGAAAATATTATAATCAAGGCTGGATAGTCCATGGCCAGACTTCATTCCTCCCTTAACACCCTAGATGATTATGTAGCTCTAACATCCAAACCCATCTCTTTCTTCCCCATTTTTAGGTGTATATCATTGAGGAATTTGGACTAAATATCCTGGTGTGGTCATCCATTGGAAATACAAGAACTAGTTGGATGTATGGACATGTATCTCTCTCTAGTAACAGTCCCTTTAAGGTGGCTTTTGAAGCTGATTTGAGTGGAATGGATTACATTTTTACTGCTCTTGATGACATCTCCTTTACCCCAGAATGTGTGTTTGGAGGTAAATGATTCCTTAAGAAAATGGATTATATAACTACTATTTTTAACATCTAAATATGAACAAATTGAACATTTCTGAGGAATTATAAATCTTTTCAACCCAGTCCTATTAGTACATTGAAGAAAGAGTAATAGATTTATAGGTGGTAAACTTTTTCCACCCAGGTATCTGCACATTTTGGTGTCCTCTAGATAACAAAATATTTTGACAGAAGTTCATCAAGAAATATTGTTCTATTCATGAAAATTTATTCCCAGAGCTCACCATTACTGCACCAAGTAAAGCCTCCTCTGCTCACAGGTTATCTTCTCATCTTTCTCACCCACATTAGCTTTTCCCCTTCCTGGTGCATTTACTGTACTAGCCCTCTGTGCTTATCAGTGTCCTCCAAACACCAATTCATTTCTCTCCACAGCTTCATTTTTCTGCCCAAATTCAGTTCATGACATTTTTTTTTAAAATTCATCAGAATCTGTGTTTTGGCTACAAAGCTGGCTTATCTAATTTACTGATATGTATACAACTATCCTAATAATTTAGTGTTGATTATGGTTTCAGAAAAACAGGCCTTTCAGCTTTTTTATTAACCTCTGTAAAAAGAGTGTTTTTTTTTTTTTAATTTGTTTGTTTTTTTAATTGTAAGCAACAGAATCTGACTTGGACTGCTTAAAGAATAAAATAAAATTATTGAAGGACTTTGGATAACTCCAAAAATCAAAAGAAAAGCTGAGAATCTATGATAGAAAAATGAGTGGGGAGCAAGTAATATTCAGTAAATACTGAGAGCCAGTTTATCAGCTGGCTAATTCCACTGTGTCTGAATACTTGCTTTGGAGCTGGGCAATCCACTCTCCTATTATCTCTGTGAATAACCTTGAATTGCCCCCTGACCCCTGTCACTGCGTCAAAATTAATAAAAGACTGGTTGGAAGCATAAAATTCACCAAGCCCAAGTCATATGTCCACATCACAAAGTCCTTTAACCATTCTACTCATTGGGTGATAGTGATCCCTCATTTTACCTTTTATCATAATGAAACTTTAATTCTTACTTCATGTGGACCCAATGATGAAGTTGATGAGTAACACCAAGTTTTCAACCTATATTTAATGAAGAGAGAGCAGACAAACAACAACAACAAAAAAGCAATGCATCAAAATACATAACTTCATACAAGTTATAAAGAAGAAAAAGGTTTGCAAATGCCTATTATATCATTTTCTTTACTTTTAAGTACTACTCCTGTTTCATTGATCTGTCTTTCTCCATAAAACAACCCTTTCACATGGAACCTTCTTGCCTTTTTCTAGTCATGTCCCACATCCTTTCATCTTCTTGACTCTAGTTCTAAAGTTTCTTTCCTTGGGAATGCCCCGTCCTTTATTCCCTCTTGTGTGAATCCTTCTCTACTATCAAAGGCAGAGTAAAAGCCTTCTTCATGAATTTATCTTTAATCCTCCCCACATAAAGCCAAACATGTTTCAGATTCTCTGAGCCTTCAATTTTCTGTTCTCTTATATCTTACATGGTATCTTGTGATATGTGTTGCTTCCATTCTATCATTTTTAGTTCTGCTATATTTAAAAATATCCTTTGTCCTTTTTTTTTTCTTTTCTAACTTGGTGAGAATAAATGATATTTAACCTTTATATTGATTAAGGGAAATATAAAATAAATTTAATTAGTATTCAACATAGAGTAGATATCCACTTTACATCAAAATTGATATTAGAATAATTATAAATGTTACTTACAACATGATCTTCTTGCTGAGCTGTTTTATTTTTAATTCAGTCAGTAATTCTTGAGCCTCATTTTTAAACCACTAGTGAAGAATGTACAAAAGACTGGCCAAAAATGATGGTCAATCCTGATTCACTTACTGACTTAGAGGATATTACTAGGTTTTAAGTCTACTACTGTAAGCTACAAAGTCCTCAGAGTTTGTCAAACAAGACAATTTCTCTTTACTCCTGAGAGGGTTGTTAGACTTGGTGACACAAATGTAAAGACTAGAAAATGGCATTAAATGCTAAAACCAGGCAGGAATATGGGAGCAAGAGCCTATTCTTTCTTGACAACATTTAAAGGAACAACTTGTTAAGCTGCTGGGTGGTTCTTATTTGGTTTCCTGCTGATATCTCACAGGAAGGGATTTTTTTTTTTTTTCAGTTAGGGAGGAATTCAAATGACAACCATGGAAAAATTCTTTTCAGTATGGACCATAGACCAGTAGCCTAGATTTGATGATTGTTTTCTGCTAAAACTGAAGATAAACCACAAATCATTGCTGTAGCACTATGTCTAAAAGGTGAATGCTTTTATATGAACAATGATATTTACCACATATATATTTATCTGTGTATGTATGTCTATATGGAAACTGGGCTATGAACTCTTCTGTTACCACCCTGAGTAATTTTTAATTGCCTCTATCACTCCTAAATTTCACACATACATATGTATATATGTATATGTACATATATATATAGTTAGTATGTGTATATATGTGATATGTACTTGATACATTATTTGAGATGATGTGTTGTATGTATAGCCCAACATGGTATGGTGATTTAGTAATTTCTTTACCATATGGAAACAATAATCAATTCATAAGTTCTTACTCAATTTTGGAAATTATGGACTCTTCTCTTCACTCAGAAACACTCAGCAGGCCAAATGTCTTACTAATCCAAATGTGCTTGAGAGTGTCTCTGATTTTTTCATTTATAGGGTCAATCCAGACATGTCTTATTCTCTTGGACTGTGAGTCTACTTTTATTGCTGGTTTCCTAGTCCCATGGAACACATATGTTGTTATCTGGCGAGGACCCAGACTTTATGCAAGCAGTTTGTTTGTTACCTAAAAAAATAGTGTAAGAAATGATGAAGGCTTCACCAAGATATCTGTTTTAAGCAAATCTTTTTTCAAGAGAAAAACAAGTGACCTCAGCAGAATGACCACAAGAAGATAGTGTCTTCTTGGCTTGTAAGAACATTTACTCATAAGAAATTGGTTATTCTTTATAGGATATACTTGGAAATTAGGAAAATAGAAAATAACAAAAGCTATTTTCTTGGCTAAACAAAGAATAAATGTCTTTTCATGTATGAGTTAAACATTTCACTAGTATAAACTTGCTCCAACTAGAAAATGTGAACTTAGAATTACTACCTTTTCGTAACGAGAGGTCCAAAGGAATGGAAAGTCCATGGTGGGTCTTCATTACCAAATAGAGCAAGTGACTGATTAATGAGGAAGTTGACCCAAGTTCTAAACCTGGCTTTTTTGCCCTTTCCACTGCATCTGACTGTAACATAATTAATGGACTCTTAGATGTGCCTCTTACAGGATTCCAGGTAGGACATGATAAACTGACACCCTTAAATAATCACTGCTAATTGTTAACACAGAGATCAGTCTTAAGAAGGTATGTAGTTTAAAAAAAGAATACAACCACATACAACACTCAACACTTTAGTTGAAATTAGTTATTCCTCAAAAGTTACCATTTGTTGTGTTAAAGCACTGCATTTTTGTCCTTATGCCTGGAAGTCTTTGAAAGACCACCATGGAATTATCTTTGAAGATAGTTTTGAAGAGTTCTTCTCTACTGCCCCCTTCGGTAAATCATTCTCTTTTGAGCTTCTGAGTCAAGTAGAACAGGTGTTCATAAAAAAGCATGTATGAAATTGAATGATATCCCCTCATAGACTAATGCCTAAAACTCTTAGTTTTCTTATAATTATATAAGAACTGTTATGTGATGAAGAAATTGCTTCCCACTCTCCATTCTGAAGCTTTCTACATGAAGACAAAGGTCAAATAACTGACTGGTGCCAACACACCCATCCATAATTTCTGTAAATAAAAACCTCCTGCTCACAGGATTGATGATGACATTGTCTTTCCTTGTCCCATCCAGCAAGAAAAGAGTATAATGTCAGGCCATCCGAAATAACCCTTATTTCCTCTTCAGTTTTAGGTTTCAAAGGGCAAACATAGGTAAGCTTGAATCGAGTGTCAAGTCATTGAATATCAAGAAGAAACTGCATTTAATCTAACACTGGAAAATTCTGAGCAGTATTCATCCTTTGGAAAATGTATGCTGGAAGGAATGTGGACATGAATTTAAAAGGGAACATATTTAATGATATTGATGCTAATGTTAGAAATCAAGAGTTCAGCTTTTGGAGGGTTCTTTACCTATTAAGCAGCTTTGCAATTAATATTTAAAAGAGCTCTCAGTGAACAAAAGCATTCAGTCAGGCCAAGTACATAGCCTGATCCAATATTGTGAATAATAGAGGCCATACCAGTTCAGATATGTCAAATCAGGAACTATAGCACCATCTGGAAATGATAAAATAGAAATGTATCTGTAATCCACCAGAGTCCCATTGGCTTCCAGGCCTCCTGACAAAAAGAAAGGACCACAACTATTCTAATATTTCATGCTTATACATTTTCCAAATTTACATGAATTTTAGATGATTTTATTTTGTATGAGGACAAAATTTTCTTCATGTATGCAGTTTCAGTTACTTGCAGTGGTATCACTATTATCAGGAAGAAGTTTGAAGTTTGCTATGATCATAGCAAATATTGATGTTGGGTAAAAGCAGTAGCTCTCTGGGGGTGGGGCTATCATTATGTTCCATTTCTTCAACTCTTGATTTGTCTTGATACCGTGAATATATTCTTGATTTTTTTTTCAAATCTGTGTGTTTTGTAGGTAGTATACATATAAAGCATTCTCATAATACACGAGTCCAAGGATTCTGAGAGTAGGATACATACTTCTCCACCACAATTTAATGTTTTCTCTTAATTGTTCAACATCCACTGCCCATTCCCTCTCATTAAGTCTATCACTAGCAAATAGCTTCAAGGTTTCAAATAAAATTTCTCTGTGTGCATGAGCAAGTGCAATATTATGTGGTCTGCACAAATGCACACACACACACAAAATATATATACATGCCCACATTTTGA